TTACATATAATCTACTTAAATACAAGTAAATTAGCTCATTTTGAACAACCATCAATCAAACAATTTGTATTATCAAAATTATTTCCATGCTTTGTTATTAAATTTTCATAACTGTCAAACTAACCTTATCTTTCTGTGCACTTCAACTTAAAAATGAAAATTCTTAGTTCAATTCAAAACAATTTTGATAATAACTCTCAAAAATGAATTCTACAGATATTAAACATCATTTCTACAAATTATGAGATTTTTCTAAAAATAAGCCGCAACTACTTTAGGTAAAGTATAATGGACTGACCCAGCTTTTTATTTCACAGTATTTTTTACATTTTAAGCGACCTACAAATTTTTATTATTCATTGTATATCAGTTCCCCTTAAACAAATATGAGGTAAAAAATAATTTCTAATTAAAATATATTCAATCATATAGAAATTCTTTGAAATATACCTACCTATATTTATTTTAATTTAAAATTCTCAATGTATAATTTCTGACAAATTAATAATTAATCAAAAATAAATTCTCTCAAGGCCTTCCTGGAAAAATATCATAAAAGAAGTGGTTTTTCGAGTTTCGTTTAATTCTTAAATAGTTGGGATATCGATTTGTGTTTTCTTGGGATTAATTAAAGAGGACCTTATTCTAGTAGAATCTTCTCCTTATTTACAATTAATTTTGCAAATCTCTTTAAATTTTTTTTTAATCTCTTAATTTTTTTATGATCAAATCTTTCGTTTAGCGGATGATAGTTTGGAACTATTCAATTTTTCGGTAATTTAAAATTATTTTTAAATTAAAAATATTTTTGTAAAAAAAAATATAAATAAAAAATAATATATAATATAAATATTTTCGGCTTTTTTGCTTCCAAGTATGCTGGAAAAATTAAAAAATAAATAAATAAAAATCCTCACAGGGCATTATTAGCAGACGCATTGTATTTTTCGGAAATTCAAGATCATTTAAAAAAAACTAACAAAATTAAAAATTTTAAGAGAGCTAGATTTTTGTCCCTGAAAAGTGCTATTCGTCCCATTGTGCAGGGTCGCTTGAAAAAATATCTCCTTTAATAAATGTATTTTGATTTTTTTGTTTTACACGATTCTGATACGATTTACATTCTGTATACTAATAACACCTAGTTCTGGTTCACTTTTTTCATGGAGTAGTGTTAAGGATGTCACAAAGGATATATAACTAAAAAAGTATAAATTAAGCTTTTGTAGTAACGCTCTATGCGGAATTAAGACGAATTCAGAGCAAATCACGCATAATAGTGTGCATGCTATATATGTAATTGTCGCTCATGCGCTTCTATTTTTCTATTTTTTTTATTCATAACTTGGAAGCATTACTCAATCTTGTAACCTATGAAAGATTTTTGAAAATTATTATTTTTAAATAAAAAAAAATTTTCAAATTTTGTTAATTTCATTTATCAGTATAATAAACTTCTTTATTATAATATAAAAAATAGTTTTTTTTGTAGAATATAACATTCAGTAAAAAAAATTTTTATGAAAATGATACCGACTCATTTTCAAAAAAAGTCATAATTAAATTAAGTCATAATAAAACTCTGTAATTCAAAAAATCTTTTATCAAATTCTATATATTGATTTTAAATTTAGACTTCTAATAATAATTGTATTATTTGGTAAAGTTTTTTTTTTAATAATTTCAATAACTTTTATTTTCTGACCTAGGCAATTGTGGAATATTGCCCCATATATACCATCATGTACTCTTATCATATGAATATGGTATCGAATTTTTTTCGGAACAAGAAATATCAACTCTCGTGTATATTACTTTCGTAATACCTTTTTGTTTACGATCTTCTGTATATACACAGGAAATGTATATAGCTCAGACTGGCGCATATGTATATTCTTATGAGGAGAAGTGGAGGGATACGAAAATGGAAAACGATAACACACTGCGTACAGCATCCAACTATCTTTCTCTTCACTGTTATTTGCTATTTTCATCGAAAATATACGTATATTCCATGCACAATTTGCGTGGGAATTTTGTAGGTGCGCTCCGCATTCTGTCATTATAGTATTTAGTCAGTATATCTTCCTTTCAGTCTTAGGTTAACGTGATTTGTATAATTTGCAACTGTACATCTCAGAGAATCTAAAAAGAAAACAAAATTTTCATCTGTTGCTTATTATTTACCACAAAACTTATTTAAATAACTTTCGAAAGATTTAATTTGTAGTGCGACAATAAAAAAATTTAGCTCGTAATTTTTAGATAATAATTTATCCAAAAATTACGAGGTAAATTATTTATCACGTATTATCTTAATAGCATAATAGCATACTTTTTTTAATTGATAATGTTTACTGCCAAAAAGTTTTGTTTAACATATTCTTATCTACCGATAATGATAATAATCTGCGCTAGTGATTATCCGATGCTTCTTATAAGGACTTAAATTGATACTACAAACGAGTTATATTTTAAATATTTAAACTCTCAAGTGATAATTTTCAAGTCAATCTGATGATTTTTCAAAAAAACTTCTCCGCCATATTGGATCCGCCATTTTGAATTTTTGAAAACCGAAATAAGATACGTAATCATCGATCCCCTAAAATCCTCAAGTGACGATTTTCAAGTAAATCCAATGATTTTTTACAAAAAAGTCCGCTATTTGAAATTTCTGAAAATCGACCTGAAATTCATGATCATCGGCCTCAAAAACCCTTGAGTGATAATTTTCAAGTAAATCTAATGATTTTTTTACAAAACCCGTCCGCCATATTGGATCCGCCATTTTGAATTTTTGAAAACCGATATAAGATTCGTAATCATCGATCCACTAAAATCGTCAAGTGATAATTTTCAAGTGAATCCAATAATTATTTACAAAATTCGTCCGCTATTTAAAATTTTTGCAAACCGACTTCAAATTCGCAATTAGTAACCTCAAAAACTCTCAAGTGATAATTTTCAAGTCAATCTGATGATTTTTCAAAAAAACTTCTCCGCCATATTGGATCCGCCATTTTGAATTTTTGAAAACCGATATAAGATTCGTAATCATCGAACCCCTAAAATCCTCAAGTGATGATTTTCAAGTGAATCCAATAATTTTTTACAAGAAAAGTCAGCCAATTTAAATTTTTGAAAATCGACTTAAAATTCATGATCAGCGACCCTATGAACCCCAAAGTAACTAGTTTTAACTGAATTCAAAGAATATTTAGTAAATTTGTCCCAGGTCATGCGGTGTGGTTCGAGTGTCCAAACTGAAAGAGTCTAGCTATTAATTATACTAGCCAGAATTCTCAAAGTAATCACGAATAATAATTTATATTGTATTCGTTAAAAATTGTTATAATAATATTTAAAGGAGAAGAATTTAATCGGTATTTTGAATGATAATAAAATATAACTGTAAATATTATTGCACTATATTGTTTATGCCATCAGACGCTATTTAAAGAATATATTCATAAAATTGTGCTCGTAAGTGTCATATTTTAGAAGTCACTAACAACGAAAAGATATAAAAAACCAAAAACTTATTGTCAAGTTACAATAAAAGTCTTTTCCGATTATTTTTGGATATTTTACATATTTTGAAACTGAACTTAATGGTTATATACATCTTTCTAACTTTAAAAGCAAAAATTAGTAAAATAAAGTAAGGAAATTTATTGTTATTTACAATTTTATTAATTTCTCAATTGTTATTGTTAAAAGGAATGTGTAATGTTAACGTCATAAATTGTTTTTACAGATTAAAAGTATATTGGAAATCGAAAGATTGTTGCGTTTTTATTAGTCTTTTTCCGTGAAACACGGGCGTTTCTTTGACCCAAAAGTAACTTTGTCGAGCACACTGAATCATGTCAACCGATGCGGCAGTGAAGGTGACAAAACAAACATAATCCACAAAATAGTGAGAGCTTACTGCTTTTCCATTAATTCCAGATGAGTGATTTCATGTCGACGAAGTGAAAATATAACACTGTTCTTGTAGCAAGAGAAAAAAAAATATAGATGTTTCAGACTGATTTTTGGACTATACACTGACAAAGAAATGTTGAGCAAATATACAAACGTATAGTTGTACTGTCAATAATTATATATTATCCTAGTATATTTATGGCATATTCGTTGACAATACAATATATTTTTATCAGTACAATAAATATTCAAAATAAAATCACAGTTTATCAGAATCCAATAAACAGTTTTTTTTAATAGATAAAATATTTACAATACGACAAAGTAAAACCGAAAAGTTGCTTTGAACAGCAGTAAAAAAACGGCTGACTGATTAAAACGAAGCTTTTTAGTCCCTTTGGTGTTAGGCTTACTCGATATCAATCATATCAAGATTCGTAAAATGTTTTAAGAACACTATGTTCATAGCAGTTCACAGGCTGTTGACCATTTCACAAAAACATGCATGAAATTATCTTTTGAAAAATATCTTTGTGTTTGAACAGTGTTACTATAAACACGGATCGCAGACACTATTATAAATTAAACTCAACACAGAGAACACGTAAAGTTAGCTTTATGTGACAAGAGTGCACAATGCTTCCAGTTCTGCAGGCACTTTGTTATCGGGGTTATCTAGGAAAAGCTTCATGTCAGTTGCCCTGCGAGAGCGAGAGAAACGAACTTTCGTGAATTCTATAATTCCCTACTAAAGTAGTATGTCCCTAAGATGTCCATGGAATACTTAGTATGTCCTAAGAATATTTATCCAAATTTTCCCGGATCAATGATTATCCCTAAGGCATCTATGGGACATTCTTCCTGAACTGACAGAAAAATTCTTGGATTTCCTTTATACTTTAGAAATATGCTACCCTAGTAGATACTAGTTAATAAACAAGTTTATAAGTCCAACTCTTACCCCTGTCAAGAGGGACCTTACCGAGAGGTCTCTCAGAATTAATCAGTAAAATAAATTTATCACTGTCTATTACAATGTTCTAAATAAATTTTTCTGATTATGTTTTCAGCAGCAACAGAAAACAACACTTAAGCTGGCTAAGTTGTAAGGAGACCCCTAAAAAATGACAAAGAGATTTGAGTTCAACTGGCAAATCGAGGTTCCAGAGTCTCTGCGAAATGGGTGCATTTTCGATAGATGGACAGAGGAAAAGGATAATTCGGAAATCGAATTGAACTGTATGTTTAAGGTTGATGAATATGGGTTTTTCATTTACTGGCAAAGCGAAGGAAAAGTAAGTAACATCATCTATCTATGATTTACTTTATCTCTTATTTACCTGAGAATAACCTAATCTTTAAATCTTAAATAATTCAAAGTATTCGGATATTCAGGATATATTTTTGTTTGTAGTCGGGAGTGGAAAATCTGTGAATTCAGATATCTGGATAAAGATTCCAGCTTATGTGGGTATGACCGCTCTTGTTCTGGTCGACCCACGAAAAAACACTCCCGTCTTAATCTGGACTATTCTTTAACCCACGGAACTACCTTTCGGCTTCAAACTTCGCAGATGAATGGTCCCATATAGTCGCTGACGCGATTCTTCTTTGCCGCTCTTGTTCTGGCCTTATTTTCTCCTTGTTCTTGACAAAGCCTGCTTTGCTTCCTCTAGGGCAGTTCTGAAGACTCTGCATCTTCCTGATCCAGCGACATGTTGGATATTTTCCTTTTCGTAAACTTCGCCTGGCATAAGAAGCAATATGGGCTCTTCTTACAATCTGCTAACTTATGGACGGTTTCTCCGCACTTGAACCAATCACCTAACCTATCTATTGCTTGGAAGTCTCTACCTATGTGGCCATAGTCAAGGCACCTATGACACTTTGTGACCATAACTCTTCTACTAATTTCGCAGTACACAAAACCAGTCTCAACGTGCCCTCTTTTCTCCAGTTTGTTAGCTTTCTCTTGGCTGGTGATCACGACAGCAAGCTTATTTGATCGCCGAACTGTGACTTTTTTGCTTCCAGATGGTACCGTAGATATATCTAGGACCTTCTTGACGTCTTTCTGTTCCGTATGGATGTCCATGTCGCGGACTTCCAGCATAGTCTGCCGATCCGACATCTGCATCTTACCTAAGTCACCGATTACCTTTGTCATCTCTTCAGTAAATGACCTCTTGTTTGAAGACCCTCCAATTTTAATAAGGAGATCTCACTGCTTAGTGGGTTTTGATATCACAACCCTTGCTTCACTAGCCTTCAGGTCTGCCTCTTCCCGAACCTTCCGCAGCACTGTGTCGAATGACGTTCCTTAATGCTCTTCTTCTGATCCTCTTCTCTCCACCTTGTCCACGATAATCTGTGGTACTTCCAACGCGTTGTTGCCCTCCTGCATCCTTGAGCCACTGGCCATCGTTTTAACCGTTTGACTATCGGAACCAATTAGGGATTTAGCCGAAGCATTACCTCGCAGGTACTTTTCCATCTTTTTACAATCGCTCGATGTTTGTCCCGTGTCGAGGGACAATCGGGCCTTAACAGGGTACTACCATCTGGCCAAGATGGACCCTGAATCGACTCCGTTAGTTACATAGACGTTATAGCATTGCCAAAGCATTGATGCGACGTCCATGATATCCAAGAGCACATGAAAGTTATACGTTCGGACGTGAAGGTCGATGTAACCACAAAAGACAATACCCTAGGTGCCGGATATCTTAAAGATGTCCGTAGGATATCCCGAATATCCGAATGTTGTTAGGGTTGTTAGGGTAATTTGAAAAAATATAAATAACTCAAGTTATTTTAGAATATTATTATTTTGTTAACTTTTTATTTTAGGATGGGGATGTTCTTGAATTATGTCAAGTAAGCGATATACGAGCTGGAGGCGTACCCAAGGTAAGAAAAATATTCTTCATTTAATTCTTCTTTTAAGGAAACTTTGAAAATCACGCTAAAAGTTTTTCTGTCATAGGAACCAAAATTGTTTGACAAACTTTCTGGAAAACATGGAGAGCAACTGGAAGAGAGAAGTCTAACTATTTGTTCTGGAGTGGACTACACCAACATAAATTATCAACATGTTGTCTGCCCTGATGCTGCTACTGCAAAAGTAATTTATTATTTTTTTGAAATTTAATTTCTTATTCAATGCAAGCAGCAAAATAGTCTGTAAAATATATAACTTATTAGAAGTGTAGTGTACGGTTCAGTAATTTAAATAAAATAAATGTGTAGAAAGCAACTTTTACAATTTACATTTTCACATTAAATTTCAATTCTATAACTTTAAAAACTCCTGAGTAAATATTTTTAGACAAATCGGTGAACTTTTTGACCGATTTCATGATTTGATACATGTAATACTATAAGAATTCTAAAAGAACCCCAATCAATTTATCCATTTTTATATTAATAATTTTTTTATTTTTAAATGTGAAAAATTATATACATTGTTGAATGTTTATTTGTAAGAAAAGATTGCTTTTATTGTAGATGTGGTTGGATGGCATTCGATCGATTACACATAACGTCAAAGCCAACAATGTCTGCCCACTGACGTGCCTAAAAAAACAGTAAGTTTTACAAACAATATTATTCATTTACTTCCTCCTATCTATAATATTCATTCTTCAAATATGTCAAAGGTCACATATATTCTTCTAAAACACAATACTCTTTTTCATTTTCACACAAATATTTACAAGTTAGTTTGCTTGAAATAGTTTAACCTCACATAACAGAATTAGGTTCTTTGAACTCTGAAGAAGAAGTTTTATCATTTAGGGTAAGTCAAGAAGAGATGGATCACTTATTTTTATTTTCTTATTTATGGACGAATTTTTTGCTCCTCATTCATATTTCTTAGAGTCAAAGTTATTAAATATTTAATAAACCTTCTAAAAAGAAATCCTATTCGATTTTTCATTTTCTCAAAACAATTCATCAAAGATACATACCCTTATTTTTCCCTCTTTTAATAGAGTCACAAAATATGTTTCATGAAATTCCAGCTGGATGAGACTCCGAATGCAAGTGGATCCCAATGGTAAAGTTCCTGTAAAGGTAGTGGCAAGAACTTTTGCTTCTGGAAAAACAGAGAAACTTGTCTATCAGTGCCTTTCTGACTTGGGCCTACCTAGTGGGAAGGTATACAAAATTCATTACACAAAAAGCTTCTGTTAAGTTTTTTCTCTCAAGTAATATTTTCTTTATAATAAGAATTTTATTTCTAGAATGACGTCATCGAACCGGACGATTTTACCTTCGACACATTTTACGCACTTTATCACAAAATTTGTCCACGAAATGATATTGAAGAATTATTTCAATCCATGTAAGCATGACAGTCTAATCATTGTTTGTATACATTTCAATTTCTTAAAGAAATTCTTTCGAAAAAGTAATAGCATTTTTTCACAATTTCCAGTATTCATAAAACTAAAATTTTCTTAATATTTTAGCCAAGGAAAGACTTTCATGAGGAAATAATAAGTAAAAATTGTTAACATGCTATTTAATTTATTTAACGCAAAAGTATCATTATATTGGATATGTTAATTAAAATTATTTATTCTGTTTGAAATAATAAAAAACACAAATATTTAAGAAGGAATGTATATATCAGTTTCTTGGAAATAACACTTTGGTTCTTAAGGGGAAAAATTTACAATTTGACGACATTTACATTAATTTCAGAACCCAAGGAAAAGCAGATACTATAAATTTAGATCAGTTAATTACATTCTTAAATGAAAAACAACGTGATCCAACGTTAAACGAGATCCTTTATCCACTGTACGATGAAAAAAGAGCACTGGAAATTATCAATGACTATGAGCCAAACGAGTCTATGAGAAATCAAAGTAGGACTTTGTTCACATTTATCAACTTATTTCCTAATCAAATTTCACGCATAGCTCAAAATGGATACACGAGTTTAAATTGAAAATATTTTACTATTTCCTATTTCATTGGTTGCACGCCATCCTTTCAGAATCTATCACGTCCTTTCAGAAACGATGACAAAAGATGGCTTCATTCGGTACTTAATTTCCGATGAGAATGCACCTGTTTTTTTGGACAGGCTGGATGTCTACATGGACATGGACCAATCGTTGGCACATTATTACATAAATTCCAGTCACAATACATACCTGAGTGGAAGACAGTTTGGCGGCAAAAGCAGTGTTGAAATGTACAGACAAGTTCTACTAGCAGGTTGCAGGTAATAATTAATTTAATGTTTCATCTTTCTATTTTAATATTTTTAGACAGTTTCAGTCACAACATTTGAGAATAATATTGTGTTAATTGTTAACTTAAACTAAAAGTGTAGTCTATTATATAAAGAAAAGAAATCTTCATTTAAACCTTTCAAACTCTTCGAGTTATTCATTCCAAAAATTAAAGTAATTCAACAATACATCTAGGGTAGGACTACTACCTTTTTATGCTCCTCACCACGTTGTGAAATTTGATCAGATTATTAGCCGATTTCTTTCTTTATTCTTTCTTATTTTGGAGTCTTGGATTTATCAAATTTTCAGTATGGATTACCCTCAGTACCCAACCCAATGCTTCTCCGCCTTGAATTCTTTATTATCACAAATAATCGATGTAATGGAATATAAATTTTAAAAAGGAATATTCCATAACAGGCTACATCAAAAACTCAACTATAAGTTGCTGTTTTTTTAAGCACTACTGTTTCGTAATGATATGCTTTTTATGTGCTGAGAATTTGCTCGCCGGATGAAGTCTGGGTTCCCTTCAATATTAATTAGATAATTAATTACCCATAGTTAATGCCGTGAAACGCTATCTAACGAGTTTACTATGATGAAAATATTATAACTTTCTTTTTATGATTTAGAGAAGAGGTTTAGTCATTAAAGAGACGAGAACTAAACCTTTGAAAGAAATAAAATAATAATGATCCAGAATATAATCGAAAAATAATCAGCTGAATTTCAAATACATGTGAGGGGAGATTAAATAAAACACTACTTTAAGTGATGTTAGCTTTATTAAAATAATAATGAGCTTATCAAACCGAAGGTTCAACACAGACTTGTCATCGCCTACATTATCCCTTTACGATTACGTAATAAGGGGGTTTGACGTCATATTCCTATTGCCATTTCTATAAATTTCTATTTTTAATTAAAAATAACACAATTTAGTTCCCTTTTCTGAAAAAGAAAATTAAGTTTTTTAAGAAATATCGATTAGATGTTTGATATCCAAGTCACATACAAAAAGTTTCAGACTTGGGGGATCAGACTACCCTTGTGTTTCTTAATGTGCTGAATAACACGAAACTGAAGTTCATTTTCTAAAGGATGTTCTTTTAACCTCAATAAACGCGTCGGATATAATATAAGGGCAAACATTTTCAAATAATCATGAATTTGTTTAAATTTTCTTACTTTTGACTTTTTGACTTTTATGAAACGACTATACGGACGAGAATGTTAGATTTTCAAAATTTTACGTGATAAATATATAATGTGTTGGACAAATTTTTAAAAAAAATTGTAAGATTTTTATGAAACTTGATATCTAGGGGTTTGTGGGGTCACTGATTATGAATTTTGATGTAGATTTTCAAAAATCGAAATCGCGGACGAGAATTTCATGTTGAATTAGTTTAATATTTAAATTAAATTAACAAAAATTTATTTTTTATTAGATGTGTGGAATTGGATTGCTGGGATGGAAAAGGAGAAGACGAAGAGCCAATAATAACACATGGTAAAGCTATGTGCACAGACATTCTTTTTAAGGAAGTGATATATGCAGTTAGAGACACTGCCTTTGTTACTTCTGAATATCCAGTCATTCTTAGTTTTGAGAATCATTGTGGAAAAGGACAACAATACAAATTGGCCAAATATTGCGATGAAATATTAGGAGATCTTTTACTGAAGGAACCACTTAAAGATTATCCTGTAAGAAATACTAACTTTTGTAAAGTCGTTAATTTCATGGCAAATGAATGAATGTATTATCAAAATTAATTTTCAAATGATTCTAATTAGAAATTATAATATTTCAATTTATAGCTCGAACCAGGAGCTCCTCTGCCACCACCAAGTATGTTAAAACGAAAAATTCTTATTAAAAATAAACGATTAAAGCTAGAAGTGGAAAAACAAGAATTGGAGCTTTTTAAACAAGGACAATTTGTTATTGAGGATGAAATTAAAGAAGATGCTAGTGCTCTACCATTAGTTGCAGGTGTCGTTGAACAACCGGTAAATATGCAAAATTCAGATGCAATTACTGTTACACCATTGAATCATGCGTATATTGCGTCAAGCTCATGTTCATTTTCTAAATTTGTTGACAAAAAAATTTGTAAAAATACTGAGGTTAGTAATTGTAGAGGGACCACGAACAAACCCATGTTGCTCATCAATTATGGTAGAACCAAGTCTCTTAATTCTCCAACTAATAATTTTTTAAGCCGCTGACAATTTTATTTTTATAAGCCGGACCTACCAAGACCCCTGATCACACCATAAACTAACCATAGCTCTTTAATTAGCGAGATTTTTGTGTGCATTCTAGAAATGCCTCTCGTCAAGAGGGTTAAAATAAATGTAAATAAGAATAAATTCAACAATTAACATAAAATAATTTTCCATCAGGAGGAAGTAGTGGATGTAATAAACGTTGGACAATCACAACAACCAATTCAACCTGGTCCAGGTGGTTTAGGAGAAAGTTTAGAATTGGCTGTGCAACAACCTTATACCGGCAGTACTACTAATGTTCATCCTTGGTTATCATCAATGGTAAACTATGCACAGCCCATCAAGTTTCAAGGGTTTGATGTTGCAGAAGGTAAACACATTATTTAATAGGTACATTATTGAATTATACAATAAATATATTATATTTTCATAAAATCCGTTGAATCAGTGACATTTTGAGAACTCAATTTTCTTTGTTTCTTTTTATCAAGATGCATGTCACAAACGCACAAACGATTTAATAAATTCAGAAAGATATAGGACTTCCTTAAAATTGAAACAATTTTAAATTATAAGACAAAAATAAATTATGCTAGAGAATGAAATTAAATTTCATATTTACATATATCAATCCATAACAACTTGCAATTTTATATTTTAGAAAAGAATATTCATTATAACATGTCTTCATTTGCGGAGACTACCGGATTGAATTATTTAAAAACATCAGCAATAGAGTTTGTTAATTACAATAAGCGTCAGATGAGTCGTATTTATCCAAAAGGAACTCGAGCTGATTCTTCCAATTATATGCCACAAGTTAGTAAAATTAAATAGAATTTTATATTAATTTAGTAACACTTGGTCAAATTGTTATAATCAAATTTTTAATCTTTAGGTATTCTGGAACGCTGGATGTCAAATGGTTTCCCTTAACTTTCAAACGGCTGATCTTCCAATGCAGTTAAATCAGGGAAAATTTGAATACAATGGGTCATCCGGATATTTGCTAAAACCTGATTTTATGAGAAGGGCTGATCGGAGTTTTGATCCGTTTGCTGAAAGTCCAGTGGATGGGGTTATTGCCACTCAGTGCAGTGTTCAAGTGAGTAAAAGAATATTTGACATTCAGTTAACAATCAGGTTCATTCAAATTAACAACATTAATTAATTGTGATAACGAGTAGAAATTTGTAATAACTATGCATCGGCATAAGGATTCAAGGAAGCAGAGAGATTTCCCTTTAATATTGTTATCGACTTGCGTGTCTTGAACTTGAGAGTCACTGGAACAAATATTAGTTTATTGTTTAATCAATTTACGGCACAAGTAAAAATAAGTTCGTAACATAATTCAATAGTTTAATTAAACAAACTGGTAACTGGAACATAAGTTCCATTACCCTAAAACAATTAAATTGCAAATTAATTTAGTCAATTGTATCTTAGTGGAAAATGTAATAAGAATAAGTTTATTGACAGGTGATAGCTGGTCAGTTTCTCTCCGATAAGAAGGTAAATACATATGTGGAGGTTGAGATGTATGGTCTGCCAACTGACACGATACGGAAAGAATTTCGTACCAGAGTAGTGCCAGCAAATGGGCTAAATCCCGTGTACAATGAGGAACCATTTCTATTTCGAAAAGTAGTTCTTCCAGATTTGGCAGCTTTACGATTTGCTGTTTACGACGAGTCAAATGGAAAACTTCTTGGTCAACGAATCGTCCCCTTGGACGGCCTTCAAGCTGGTTATCGACATATTGCACTTCGAACTGAAGCTAATTTTCCAATGTCCCTGCCAATGCTTTTTTGCAATATTGAAATCAAAATATATGTTCCTGATGGTTTTCAAGGTTTGGACCATTTTTTTATATCAAAGTTTTAAATATACACAAATCATGTATTAATTTTGTAAACGCAAAGTATACAAAATTGTATTCAAGTTACGAATCTGTTTTATTCAAAAATGTATTTTTTAGAATTTATGGACGCATTGACAGCACCAAAAGAATTTCAAAATACAGAGAGCTTGGCACAGACGAGAATGCGTGGTCTTGGAATTGAAGAGAGCGATAGAACAGCCCAAGGAGATTCTATGCAAACTCGTCAAAGGGAAGCTGCTAAACCTAGAGGTAAATTCTCTTTTAGAAAACTATTTCATTTTCCTACGATTTTCTTCATACTTTCTTCAAAATTAATATCAATAATGATTTTCTTATCTCATTAAATAAATTTTTTTCAAATAAAATTCCAGAGGAAATTAAATTCGAACCTATCACAATGGTAGTTCTCAGACAGGAAAAAGGATTTCAAAAAGTTTTGAGGAAACAACAGAAGGAAATTGATTCTCTTAGAAAGCGACAGCAAAAGGAAAAGTTATCAGTACAAAAACAACAATGCGCTGCAATTGAGAAAATCATTAAAGGAAAAAAGTAAATAATCTTAGTTTGTTTCAATCAAACTTAAATTATTATTCCATTTTAGTTTTTAATATGAAAAGGGAAATAAAAAAAAATATGTCCACAGTAAAGCGGAATTATCAAGGGATCCGATTGTTCGCCAAGCAGTTTCTGACCAAACAACACAATGGTCTAAATTGGCAGAAAGACAGAGACGTGAGGAGCGTGAATTAATGCAAAATCATGTTGAGGAAAGAAGAACGATGTTACGGAAACTTTGTTCATCAGCTCAAGTCGTCCAGCAGAAACAACTCGTTGCTCGTCACGAACGTGAGATAAAAGAAATGAACGCAAAACAGGCAAGACTCTCTGTTGAAAGCATGCGAGAGGTTATGAATGACAAGACCCTAAAATCGAGAGGCATTAAAGAAGGAAGACTCAGGGAAAAGCAACAAAATAACACCAAAAAATTTATGGAAGAGCGAAAAATTGCGCAAATGGTCCAAAATCGAGAGAAAGAGAAACTTCGCGACATTCATGAGAAGCAACTCGATGAATTACAGAAAGAAATGAATGGGGTTCGTATTCCTTAATCATTTTTAAATTACAACAAAGGAATGAGTTCCTAAGACTCAAAACACTAAATAAAATTTGTTTTTTAATTCTTTCAGATCCTGGATATGTACAAGAATGAAGAAATGGAATATGAGCTGGGATCAAAATCGGAATTTTGTGCGTAAATTTTCAGAGTGGTATAAATGTCTTGTGGAAATATTCTTAAAATAGTTTATTAAAGTAATTATTGGAATTGGGATCAAATCTCGACCGTTAGCTACAAAAGAAAAAAAAATTCGACTAAACGTTGAAACTAGTAATTCATCTGTTACTTGATATTTTTTATAAGCTTCATTCTTTCTATGATAGTTGTGCCAGTAATTAAATTTAAGGATAACGATTAAAGTGATCTAGTCAAGTGTTTTTACTCATAGCCAAAGAAAAAGAAAAATTAAACGAACTAATATGTAGATAAATCATTTATTTCTAAAGTATATAAAGATTCTTTGTTGAGATATATAAATCTTTTAATTTTTTTCACAAAACCTCAAAATTTCATATCTGTGAATAATGGTCTAGTTGATCATCATGAAGCTGAAGATGAAGAATAATATTCCCTGTGCAAGAGTCAAGTGAACGATGACATTTCATATCAAATGGTGACTGTCAGTTGGTAATACTTGAGAAATTTTGCCCTGAAGATAAAACAGTTAATTATAAAACTAGTGTTTTTTTAATTTGTTGGAAAAAATATTCTAAATTTTTTTAAATTACTAAACTGTTCTACCTACTACATTTATTTTTTCATATAAAATACCAAAACTATTTAATTTTTTAAATAAATTTGTTTAAGTAAAATTTATTTTTGAAAAACAAAATTATTTTAAATTAAGGCAGTAAATAATCTGTTGAAACATTCAATCTTTATTTCTGATGCACGTGTCTTTTGGCGCAATAAATTCTTGCAATCATATTAAACTTTCAGAACTGAAATATTAAAAAAATAACATTTTTGTAAGAAAATAGTTCTAAAAATATTTACGAAACATTTTTAAAATGCAAATAAATTATTTCTATTTAGGGTATTGGCAACAAAATAGCACCAAATTTTCAAGAAATTTTTATTTATTGCAAAATATTTATAATTATTCAACTATGTAATATGATTACTAAAAATGTTCAGGACAATTAAAATAATTCGAATTCAGCGCCCATAAAAACCCTTGAGTATGCATTTTCAAAAGAAATAAATAAAATTTAATATTCCTTGCCCGCCATATTGGATCCGTTATTCTGAATTTTGGAAAACTAATATCAGATTTGTAATCAACGACCCTGAAAACTTTAGAATAAAGATTTTCAAGAGAATCCGACTGATTATTGAAAATTTCGTCCGCCATATTGGATTCGCCATTTTGAATTTCAGAAAACTAACATCACATTCGTATTCAAAGACCCGGAAAATCCCAGATTAAGCATTTTTAATACAGATTTATGAAAAAATGTTATATCGAACAATAAATTAAAAATTTTGTACAATTTTAATTTGTAATGATTTATAAATTACAAAAGTAATTTTTATATTTTTTTAATTTCTAAATTTAAATTTGGCTTCTTTGAACAAAATTGAAGTCAGGAACAGAGGTTAGTTTATACTAACCTTTTCCTACTTTATAAAATTAACCTCTACGAAGGGATTTTTGTTTTTTGAGATTTTTTTTAACAAATAAACAACAAAATGTAATATATTTTGAAAAAGGACTGTCCAACTTTGGGCATGTCCTGTTTTTAAATTTTAATATTTTAAATTAATTTAATGATTTTGAAAAACAGTACAAATGAATCCAAACCTTGATCTTTGATCAAACACGTGTTATTTTTTAGATTATAATGTCAAAATATATTTTTTTCAAAAAATTTTAAAAAATTTATATTTTTGTTAAAAGTTGGATTTGTTAACAGATTTGCACCTGAAAAGGGTACCAATGTTGGTGCCGAAATGTTGTGCCAGACATAGTCTAAAATATATAATTATTAAACACAATGAATTATATTAATTGTCCAGTGTAATCCTGATTTTTAATTTTCTTTTTGAAAATAATAATAAATTAAAAATTTTCATAAATTTTTGTGTTTTTAGGCGTTATTTTGAAAAATCAAAAGTTTATATTCAAAAGGTCGCTATATATATTTTAAAAGTTTAACAATCGAAAAACACTATGATTAAATATACTGTATCTTTTTTTAATTATTATATAAAAGTAAATTTTTTCTATATGATGCACTAAGAAAGATAAAGCAAGGAAAATAATTATGAAATGAATGAAATATAAGTGTTTTGTAATTTATAAAAATTAATATTGTTAATCAAATTATTTTTAATATACAATTTTTCCATAATTTTTTGTTTTTGTAGCAACAGATTTTAATAAAATTTATTTTAAATAAATTTATTTTAGTTATTTGTGAAAGATTATTTTCTTTTGTAATAAATAAAGCAGTAAAATATAGCTTTTGAAACTTTGAATTTTTATCTTTGAAATACGTGATTTTTTAGGCAAAAATGTTTTGCGATTATATTGAAATACCTAGAATAGCAATATTAACAAAAATTATAAATAAAAAGGATAAATATAAATATTTAGAATAAAAATGGATTTTTTAACAATATTTAAAACATTTTTCATTGACGAGTCAGGAAAAATGTCCTATTAAAAATGGGATACGCTACTTCTCATATCATTCTATTAAACTTTTAATTTTTCCGTCCAAGAGTATTTTTTTAAATTCCTATCACTCATGAGAAATTATTATTTTAGGTCAAATTAATGTTGTCTTACTTTTTAAGTCTTGTTATTTATTGAAAAATTTAATTTCAAAAAATAATATTCATTTGCAATAGGTATGTACTACTTTCAATTTTACAATGTTTACAATGTGTGCAATATTTTTTAAAGGATTTTCGTGATTGACTTGAGTATAAATATAGCTCGACTTTCATGACTTTTTCAAACAGTTTTCAATAGCTTTTACATACATTTTCTGTTATAGTTGATTCAATAACCATGAATATCACTCTTTATTCATTATTGTTATTTATGTGCTTCACAAATTTATTCTTTTGTAGTAAGTTACGTTTACTTCTTAATTAGAAATAATATTTAAAAATTTTGTTCATGATAAATTAGAATCTTTATACAATAAAAAAAAATGTTTTTAAAATTTATTGGATTCGTTTCAAACTTATCTCTCGGGGGTTTTTAAGGTGATTACTAATCGATGAATACTAATCTGCAGTCAGATTTTAAAAAATGGCGAATTTTTTTTAAAAATGGCGAATCCAATATGGCGGACGAAATTATTTGGAAATTGATAGATTTTGATAAAACTTGGTGTCTAGGACTTTTTGCGGTACAGTTCGAAGGCCCGACTGTATTCTCTTTTCTATTTATATTCAAATTAGCTACTGACTAGTTACTATCATGCTTTTTCAGATAATTTAGCAGTTGCCAGTCAATTATCATCTGAGAGTACAGACACCCCCGAAGTCGAAAGTAAAATTTCACTTTTTTATAATAATCAAATATATATTTCTGTAATTTTCTCACTGAATACGATATCGGTATGTACTAAAAACTGTCTAGCACGTTCGAATTTTGATAAAAAAGAAGGGGAGGGTAAAGTTCCCGTTTTTGTTGTGCGATAATCAGAGGTCTCACGTAACCTCAAAATTTCAGAAACCTCCCAACACCGTTAACCTTATGTGCTAGAAATTTCCGTGAGGTGGTTAAAATTTGGTATATTTCTTCCCTACTTTACATTATATTAGTTACAAAAAAATAAAGCGTTTTTCTCTTACATGATTTAACAGTTGGCAGTCTATTTGATATTATAGAAGTCCCCAAAGTTGAAGGTAAATATTAAATCCCTTTATAATAAGTGGCTAAAAATTTCTGAAGTGTGCCACTAATTTTTTAGTGGCTTTTTTTTAAACAAAGAGAGTTTTACATGTGATATCAATTATTTTATAGTATTTTCGTATAAAAATGTTATTTCAAAGTTGATGAATGACCTGCTTGACATTCATTATGTGCTTAATTCGCTCAGAGTGTTCTCATAAGTTCTTTAAGGAAATCTAATTTCCATGCATTCTAGAGATGGATCCAGGCATTCATTTCTATGGAATAATTACTGAAATCATTTTATATTATCTTTTAAAAAATGTAACATTTACTAATAAAAAGAAAATAAAGTTCAGTTTACCAAACAACAATTATGCGTTTATATTTTCAGATATTTTAGCTGTAGCCAGACAATTAATATTAGAGACAACAGTAATTCCTGAAACTGGGGGTAAACCAATTTAAGTAAACATTCAGGGTTTGACAAATTTCGTATAATTCATTCCTACCGATATTAAAATTAGTTACTAACATATATATCTTTCCCTTTTTCCAGATAATTCTGAATTGGCTAATGAATTATTATCATCTGTGACTGAAGTAATATCCAAAACTGAAGGCAAATTTTCCAATTTTTAAAACAATCAAATAATACATTCCTGTGGGCTCTGGGACATGGGATGTCTTTACGACGACCTTACTACATTCTTAGGACGTCTATATGCTCGAAAGTTATCTAATAGTCATCTTATGTCTAAAGGATGTCTCTAGGACATAAGAAGAATTTAGAACGTCCTTTCAACGAATATAGAGATCCTCACGATATCCTAATGACATATTGTAGACATCACATGTCCCTGTGCCTATACCCAGTAAGAAACGAAAAATTGAAAAGTATTAAAAAGATTCTATTCTTTTAAATGCCATTTCTGTCCAATACTTTTCTATCCAGTGAGAGCAATATAAATAGTAACGATATCAATCCTCTTGAATACCCAGTAAGAAAGCAAAGATTAAGAAGCATTAAAAAAATTCTATTCTTTTGAATACCATTTCTGCCCTATGCTTTTGAATTCCACGACAGTAGTATAATAATATAATACTAATATTGTTGACATATAGAATGTTCAATTACTTTCAAATAACTGCACTCATGAATTTATTTGCTATTTTAAAAAGGAATAATTATTAAATTATCAGTTAAGAGGGTTAAAAGTGTTTAAAGGTCTCTGAAATTTTTAGGTTATGATTTATTGTCTAACAGAATAACGGCCCTGACTCGTTTAAATGACGTTAAATTGGTAAACAATCAATTTTTCAGCAAGTTTTTCTTTGAACACAAACACTTTTTACAAAATCTGCCACTGTATGTATCTTATAAATTACAAAAATCCAGAAGATTGCTTGAATGCATGCAGAAACGCGGTTCCAATGAAAAATTAAAAAGTGATATAATGACAGGCTGTAATAATTTCGGATAGGATTGGAAAGCATTCAGAAAAAAATTTTGTCTTTGTTAAAAATTACAAAAAGAATTGAATAGCATTCATTTTTAGACGAAACATGGTCCTATCATGGTATAGAAAAGTATTGGACAGAAATGGCATTCAAAAGTATTGGATAATTTCTACTACACCATACAGAGTTTGAATTATTTCAATCCTTTTCAATTTTTCGTTTCTTACTGGGTACTTGGATATTACATAAAGACAACTCCCTCTGGATTTAAATTTTATTCTAAGATTTTTCGTTTGCAAATATAGTACGATTTACTCCTACTCACATTACAACTAGTTAACAAAATGTATCCTTGCTCTTTTTTACAGATAATATTAAAATAGCTAATGAATTGACATCTGTAATCCCGAAAATTGAAGGCAAATTTACCTTTTTTATAACAGTCAAATGCATATTACTTGAATAAGACTCTTTGTACTTGTACATTTTACGCTAAGTTTAAAAACTTTCAGGTTCTACTAACCCATCTAGTGAATCATCAAAATCGGAAGAAAGTGTTTGGAAACATTTGTTGGGTAATGTTTAAAACTTCTTTTATAATAGCATTAGCATTGTTCGGGTTCATTTCAATGCTAGTTGAGAGCCTAAAAAAAAATATACTAGAAACGAAACGAAAACGAGTATTATAAATAATTACTAAAGTTTTACGCTGTTATCTTTAAAGTATCAAATTGCAACGAATTGATACCAGAAATTTGGATCAAATAAAAAATTGAGCTACATTTTTGGTATCAACTTGATCCAATTAAGTATCAATTTGATACTTTCAAGAAAACTGTGTACCGTTTGACAGTTTAGTATAATTTATTCCTCCTTACATTAAAATTAGTTTTTATAATATATTCTTGACTTTTTGCAGATAATCTTGAAATTACTACTGAATTAACATCTGAGACTACAGCAATTCCCAAAACTGAAGGCAAAATTACCTTTTTTAAAACAGTCAAAAGCATATTACTTGAATACGACACTTTGTGCATTTACATTTTACGCTATGTTTAAAAACTTCTAGGTTCTGCTAACCCTTCTAGTGAATCATCAAGAAAGGAAGAAAGTATTTGGAAACAATTAATGGGTAAAGTTTAAGATTTTCTTATTATCATAGAATTAGTATTATTCAGGTTCAGTTCAAAGCTCGTTCAGATCCTAAAAACAGAAAATGTACGAGTATCAAAACGAGATTAGTACAACTATATCATTCAATTTCTTCGATTGTTGTTTTCCGTTGATACAAGTTTACTAGCTTACTTAAACATTGTGTATATTTTAAAGTACTTTTCTAAATTTTTTAAACCTTACATGCTTGAAATTAAATGTTAGTAATAACAAATTTAAAGAATATAATGAAGTAGTATTATGAATAATTACTAAAATTTTTCGGTTTGCATATTTAGATCAATTTATTCTTTTTTACATTAAAACTAGTTACTATGATATACCCTTTCTTTTATTACAGACAATCTTAAAATGGCTACTGAGTTAAAATCTGTGACTACAGTAATCCCCAAAACTGAAGGCAAATTTACATTTTACTGTCAAATGCATTGTACTTAAATGCGGCTCTTTGTCATTTTACATTTTATGCTATGTTTAAAAACTTTCAGGTTCTACTAACCCATCCAGTGAATCATCAAAATCGGAAGAAAGTGTTTGGAAACATTTGTTGGGTAATGTTTAAAACTTCTTTTATAATAGCATTAGCATTGTTCGGGTTCAGTTCAATGCTAGTTGAGAGCCTAAAAAAAGAAAATATACGAGAAACGAAACGAAAACGAGTATTATAAATAATTACTAAAGTTTTACGCTGTTAGCTTTAAAGTATCAAATTGCAACGAATTGATACCAGAAATTTGGATCAAATAAAAAATTGAGCTACATTTTTGGTATTGTAGTGATTTCTAAAGTTAAAATTATATTTGAAATAGAAAGCAAAGTTTTTTTTTTGTGTTTATTAAACGGCGCCGGATCGTCGCCAAAATGTTTATGCCGATAACGCATAACCAAAGCAATCTCAGTGGACAAAAGTGGTGTGATTCGATTTCGGAGAATGCACGTGGAACTTTTGAACACTGTATGCAAGAGTGAAATAAGAATATGAAAATTAAAAAAAGAGAACACGACTAGAGACTCATGGCCTGCGATGCAAAGAGACCATGAGTCAGTCGATGTTTCGGTAACCTAGAGTAAAGATCTTTTTTATGATTGATTAAACTTATATAATTCCTTTGTTCTTATGTCATATGTATAATTCCTTTTTCCAGTTTTACATAATAAACTTAAACTTCGAACTAAATTAATTATTTTGGAATTTGAATCCTACAAATTGGGGGCTCGTCCGGGATCTAGCCAAATTATTATTTTCTAGTTCGTTACCAGTTGGACAAGGACAAAGAGAGTTAGTTTGTGAAGTTGAAAAGTGTTCCCCTCGGTTTAAAAGTTTAAATATTTGCGCAAGATGTCTACTATTCTCAGTGATTTAGAAGCGAATCTGGACATTCTGTCTGAAGACGACTTAAGAAGTAAATTGGAAGAATTGAATCTTTCAGTTACAGGAAGTAAAGCAGCTCTGACTGAAAGGCTAAGACGGGCCTTGGTCGAGAAAAATCAAGAAGTTAACACAGATGTCATAGATGATGGAAAAGCCGAAGACTCAACGACTCAAACGATGGTTAAGAAGAATGTAGACACTAGAGGAAAAAATAAAAGTGGTACTTCAATCTCTGAAGAAGTTGAATCTATGACCTACATAGAATTAAAGAAGCGTTTACGTGAATTAGGGAAAAAGGCCTCCGGTAAGAAACAAGAATTACGCGAAAGATTAAAAGCAGCTATGAGAGAGACAGATGATGAAGACAGTGAAAAAACGGAAAGTGAAGACGAAAGTGTAGAAGATGATGACGACGAAAGTGAAGACGAAAGCGATGATGGAAGCCGAAACAAGAAGAAAGAAGAAAATACTAGAAAAAAGGACTACAAGACGAAAAAGAAGAAACCTAGTATCCCTTCAGCTGCATATGAGAGGGAATTTTATTCCACCAAGCAACCAACCTTGTCGTTTAAAGATGTTGAAGATGCTCTAGAGATATTCAGTGGAGACGGAGGTGAAAATATTCATCGTTGGTTAATTAATTTCGAGGAGACTGCAGAACTGTGCCAATGGACGGAAGCACAAAAAGTGATATATGCAAAAAGACTGCTTACAGGATCCGCGAAGCTTTTTGCCAATTTTGAATGTGCTGCAAAATCGTGGAAAATTTTGAGGAAATCTTTGGTGGCTGAATTCTCAACGACTGTTAACAGCAAACAAGTACATCAAAAGTTGACTGCTGTAAAGAAAAAAGGTGACGAATCATTTCAAGCTTACGTGTATCGCGTTTTGGAGATTGCAAGCCACAGTGATATTGAATTGGAAGCTAAAATTCAATATATTATAGATGGAATCCAAGATGAAGAGGCTAACAAATCTATTCTATATGGTGCAACGTCAATTAAAGAACTGCGTAAAAAATTGGCTCAATATGAAACCCAAAAGAGCAACTCCAAGAACAAGGCGATTACGAAACCTCAAACGAATGATAAAGGGAAAAAGCAGAATCCTACGGCTAAACATCCGGTACAAGGAAGGAATTGTTTCAACTGTGGAAGCAAAAATCACATGAGTAACGATTGTCCAGATAAGGAGAAAGGTCCTAAATGTTTTAATTGTGACAAATTTGGACATACTGCCCCAAAGTGTACAAGTGAAAAAAGACAGTTAAAAGCAAAAGAAGTAAAAGTTCGCGTTGATGCGGTAAAATCGAGTGACAAGAAGACCTACAAAGAAGTGTCAATACTAGGACAAAAAGTTTTAGCTGTCATTGATCCAGGAAGTGATTTACATCTAATTCGTTCCAGTTTTTATTTTAAACTTGGAACTCCAAAGTTGGAATCTGATGTAGTGACGTTTGAAGGTGTTGGTTCTGCGAAAAATCAGACTCTAGGACGTTTTAAGTCGAATATAATCATTGATGAAATTAACTTCTCATTCGTGTTTGATGTAGTGCCTGATCATTTTATTGCTCATGATGTGTTGATAGGAGGAGAACTTTCTGATTTCGCGGAAGTAAGAATTAAAAATAGAAATGCCTCTTTAACAAAAATTGATCCTGCTGAAAGAAAAGTGGAAACGAATGACAGTGGCTGGAATGAAGTGTTGAACATCAATGTCCTTGAAGAACCAGAAGAAGAATTCGAAGTTTCATTAGTTCACATTGAAGATGAAGAACTGAAAATTGAGTTACAGAAACTAATTGAAAACTACAACCCTGAAAAAATCAAGGACACTGGAATAAAGATGAAGATAATGTTGACCGATGAAATCCCCGTTTATCAACGCGCTCGTCGATTATCAGCTGAACAAAACCGCATGGCAAACGAAATTATTAAATCTTGGTTGGCTGCAAAAATTGTTCGACATAGTTCCTCTGATTATTCAAGTCCTATTGTGCTGACAATTAGAAAAAATGGTGACTGGAGACTGTGTGTTGATTATCGGTGGTTGAATAAAAAAATTATTAAAGACAGATATCCCCTCCCCTTGATTGAAGATCAGCTGGATAAATTACAAGACGCTGTAGTGTTCAGTACTCTAGATTTGAAGGATGGATTTCTGCAAGTGGAAGTTGAAGAACAAAGTGTTAAATATACATCTTTTATAGTGCCAGATGGACAATACGAATTTTTAAGAGTTCCCTTTGGAATGTGCAATTCACCTGCAGTGTTTCAAAGACATATAAGAGCAGTGTTTCGTCAATTAACTGCAGACGGTGATGTTCTCATTTACCTTGACGATTTAATTGTGCCTGCAAAAACGTATGAAGAAAATTTGCAAAAGTTGCAAAAAGTTTTAAAAGTTGCTGAAGAACATGGCCTGCTGATCAACTGGAAAAAGTGTACATTCTTGGTTAAAAGTGTTGATTATTTAGGCTATATCGTTGAAGCCGGACGTTATTATCCCTCAGAAAAAAAGACTTTAGCAGTGGCAAAATTTGCAAAACCAACAACAGTGAAGCAAGTTCAAAGTTTCCTTGGTCTCACAGGCTACTTTAGAAAATTTATCCCTCATTTTGCAACAATTGCTCGACCACTCAGTGATTTATTAAAAAAAGATGTGAAGTTTGTTTTCGGTTCCAAACAAGAAACAGCTTTCGAACAGCTGAAAGCAGCCTTAACAGAGAAACCAGTGTTACGCCTCTATCAAGTTGGAGCAGAAACTGAATTGCACTCTGATGCCTGTCTTGCAGGGCTAGGTGCAATTTTACTGCAAAAAGATGAGAACGATGGACTTTTTCATCCTGTTTACTACGCAAGCTGGAAAACGTCTCCAGCAGAAGAAAAATATACAAGTTTTGAATTGGAAATGTTGGTGGTGATCAAAGCCTTGAAGAAGTTTCGTGTTCACCTGCTCGGAATAAAGTTCAAGATTGTGACAGACTGCAAAGCATTTGCTTTAACTGTCAAAAAGAAAGATACCTGTTTAAGAGTTGCTCATTGGGTCCTGTTAATGGAACAATTTCAATACACGATTGAACATCGCCCTGGAACATCAATGCGTCACGTTGATGCATTAAGCCGAAATCCTGTAAGTGTTTTGTGTTTACGTAGTGATTCAGATACGTTGACGAGAAAAATATTCAAGGCTCAAGAAGAAGACGAAGAGATAAGAAAAATTGTCGCCGCTACGCGTAAAGGTGAAAAAGAAGAATTTAAGTTGATTGCTGATGGTGTATTATATCGTGAAAGTGATGGAAGAGAACAATTAGTGGTTCCAAAATCGATGCAACATGATGTGATCAAACAAGCCCATGAAAGAGGACATTTCGGACTGAAGAAGACGGAATATCTTCTACAACAGGAATTTTGGTTTCCCAAGATGAAAGAAAAAATTCAAAAAGTGATTTCGAATTGTGTCAAGTGTCTGTTGGCCGAAAAGAAAAAAGGAAAAGGAGAAGGATTTTTAAACGCTATTTGGAAAGGTGATAAGCCGCTAGATACTTATCACGTGGACCACCTTGGTCCTATGCCTTCGACAAAAAAGTGCTACAATCATATATTTGCTGTTGTTGATGCATTCACCAAATTCATATGGTTGTATGCAACAAAGTCAACAACTGCTGATGAAGTTATTAATCGACTCAAGAATCAAGCAACTGTCTTTGGCAATCCACGAAGAATAATTTCAGACAGAGGATCATCATTCACCTCTAAAATTTTCGAAGAATATTGCAAAGAAGAAGATATCGAGCATGTCTTGATAACAACAGGAGTACCTCGTGGTAACGGCCAGGTCGAGAGAATGAACAGGTGTATAATTCCAATATTATCCAAGATGTCAATGTCAAATCCAATGGAATGGCATAAGTATGTTGATAAAGTGCAGCAGCATTTAAATTCATCATTCAACCGCAGCATCAACAGAAGTCCTTTTGAATTGATGGTTGGAATCAACATGAAATTGAAAGAAGACCTAAAATTAAAAGAATTGATCCAAGCAGAAATAGTGGAAAATTTCGAAAGTCAACGAAGTGCCGCTCGAGATGAAGCCAGAACGAGTTTGCTGAAAATCCAGGAAGAAAATCGCAGAACTTATAATCGGAAGAGAAAGGAAGCAAGAGGATATAAATTGAACGACTTAGTTGCTATTCAAAGAACGCAATTTGGTGGTGGTCTCAAGCTGTATCCAAAATTTTTGGGTCCCTACAAGGTCACGAGAGTTATGAGAAATCATCGGTATCAAGTCGAAAAAGTCGGTCTACATGAAGGCCCAAACCAAACGAGCACAGCAGCTGATTACATGAAGCCTTGGCCCATGAGGAATGACCTTGAGTTCCAGACGGACGACGAGGAGGAACTAGGTGATGGTGACGATGAATGCATCGAGGACGATGCATAATTGCAGAATGGCCGAGTGTAGTGATTTCTAAAGTTAAAATTATATTTGAAATAGAAAGCAAAGTTTTTTTTTTTGTGTTTATTAAACGGCGCCGGATCGTCGCCAAAATGTTTATGCCGATAACGCATAACCAAAGCAATCTCAGTGGACAAAAGTGGTGTGATTCGATTTCGGAGAATGCACGTGGAACTTTTGAACACTGTATGCAAGAGTGAAATAAGAATATGAAAATTAAAAAAAGAGAACACGACTAGAGACTCATGGCCTGCGATGCAAAGAGACCATGAGTCAGTCGATGTTTCGGTAACCTAGAGTAAAGATCTTTTTTATGATTGATTAAACTTATATAATTCCTTTGTTCTTATGTCATATGTATAATTCCTTTTTCCAGTTTTACATAATAAACTTAAACTTCGAACTAAATTAATTATTTTGGAATTTGAATCCTACAGTATCAACTTGATCCAATTAAGTATCAATTTGATACTTTCAAGAAAACTGTGTACCGTTTGACAGTTTAGTATAATTTATTCCTCCTTACATTAAAATTAGTTTTTATAATATATTCTTGACTTTTTGCAGATAATCTTGAAATGACTACTGAATTAACATCTGAGACTACAGCAATTTCCAAAACTAAAGGCAAAATTACCTTTTTTAAAACAGTCAAAAGCAATATTACTTGAATACGACTCTTTGTGCATTTACATTTTACGCTATGTTTAAAAACTTCTAGGTTCTGCTAACCCTTCTAGTGAATCATCAATAAAGGAAGAAAGTATTTGGAAACAATTAATGGGTAAAGTTTAAGATTTTCTTATTATCATAGAATTAGTATTATTCAGGTTCAGTTCAAAGCTCGTTTAGATCCTAAAAACAGAAAATGTACGAGTATCGAAACGAGATTAGTACAACTAAATCATTCAATTTCTTGGACTGTTGTTTTCCGTTGATACAAGTTTACTAGCTTACTTAAACATTGTGTATATTTTAAAGTACTTTTCTAAATTTTTTAAACCTTACATGCTTGAAATTAAATGTTAGTAATAACAAATTTAAAGAATATAATGAAATAGTATTATGAATAATTACTAAAATTTTATGGTTCGCAAATTCAGTACAATTTATTCTTTTTCACATTAAAATTAGTTACCATTGTATACCCTTGCTTTTATTACAGATAATCTTAAAATGGCTAATGAAATAAAATTATTGACTGTACCCACATAGCACAATCATTTTCTGCAAATTTGCGGCAAGTCTTCAAAGCCAAATTCGAAAACTTTCCTGGCAAATTTGCAGCAAACTTGCGGTAAATACCAAAATGTCCGTTTGGTGGCAAGTTTGCAAAGCAAATTTGCAGAAAATTTGCATGGCAAAGTAAATGTTAAATGCATGCGCAGTAGTTTTCTATGACATCTAGAGCTGCGCACTACATTTATGTCCCCTTCCCTGTTAGGGAAGACAACGTTTATTAAAATACATATACATTTTGAATACAAAAAGATTTTTCTTGAAATTTTTAGGTTTTTTGAAAGTTTGCTGCAAATTTTCCTCAAGTTTGCTACAAAATTATCTGCAAGTTTGCCACGCAAGTTTTCTGCAAATTTGCTCTGCAAACTTGCCACCAAACGGACATTTTGGTATTTACCGCAAGTTTGCTGCAAATTTGCCAGGCAAATTTTCAAATTTGGCTTTGAAAACTTGCCGCAAATTTGCAGAAAATTATTGTGCTATGTGGGTAGCTATCCCGAAAACTGAAGGCAAATTTACATTTTTTATAACAGTCAAATGCATGTTACTTAAATACGGCTTTTTGTCATTTATCATTTTACATTTTACGCTATGTTTAAAAACTTCTAGGTTCTGCTAACCCTTCTAGTGAATCATCAAAATCGGAAGAAAGTATTTGGAAACATTTGTTGGGTAATGTTTACAACTTTTTTTATAATAGCATTAGCATTATTCGGGTTCACTTCAATGCTAGTTGAGAGCCTAAAAAAAGAAAATATACGAGAAACGAAACGAAAAAACGAGTATTGTAAATAATTACTAAAGTTTTATACCGTTTGACAGTTTAGTACATTTTATTCCTCCTTTACATTAAAATTAGTTTTTATAATATATTCTTGACTTTTTGCAGATAATCTTGAAATGACTACTAAGTTAAAATCTGTGACTACAGTAATCCCCAAAACTGAAGGCAAATTTACATTTTACAGTCAAATGCATGTTACTTAAATACGTCTCTTTGTGCTTTTACATTTTATGCTAAGTTTAACAACTTTCAGGTACTACTATCCCTTCTAGTGAATCATCAAAAGAGAATGAAAATTTTTCAAAACCTGTATTGGGTAAGGTTAAAGAATTTCTTATTTTAATAGAATTAGTATTATTCAGGATCAGTTTAAAGCTACTTGAGAGCTTAAAAGCATAATATATATGGGCAAGCAAATGAGATTATGAAGGAGTTTACATCGTAAGCCTTAAATATAAGCCTCCGCGAGCATAAACGGATATGCCTCCATGAGGATATACTTGCGTCTGCGCAAAGTGTTTGCCTACAGCTGTGTTGTGAAAGAGTTTGCCTTGACCACGTGTTCGCGCAGGCGCAAATATATGCTCCTGGAGGTATATCCGTTTATGCGCGCGGAGGCTTATATTTAAGGCTTACGGTGTAAACTCCTTCTAATTGTGTTAATCAGAACTATATAATTCAAATTCTTTGATTATTGTTTTCCGTTGACACAAGTTTACTAGCTTACTTTGAACATTGTGTATATTCTAAAATTCTTTTCTAAATTTTTAAACCATACATGTTCAAAAAAGAAATATTGGTAATAACAAATTTAAAGAATATTATGATCATTATTAGTAATTATTATTATTATGATTATTATTAGTAATTATTATTCATAATACTATGTCGACATAGTATTATGAATAATAATTACTAAAATTTTACGGTTCGAAAATTCAGAACAATTTATTCTTTTTCACATTAAAATTAGTTACTATTGTATACCCTTGCTTTTATTACAGATAATCTTAAAATGGCTAATGAAATAAAATTATTGACTGCAGCTATCCCGAAAACTGAAGGCAAATTTACATTTTACTGTCAAATGCATGTTACTTAAATACGGCTCTTTGTGATTTTACATTTTATGCTTTGTTTAAAAACTTCCAGATTCTACTAACATTTCTAGTGAATCAACAAAACACGATAAAAGATATTGGAAACGTTTTTTAGGTAAAGATAAAGAATTTCTTATTATAATAGAATTAGTATTATTCGAAATCAGTTCAAAGCTGGTTGAGAGCTTAAAGCAAGAATATATGGGCAAGCAAATGAGATTAATTGTGTTGATCAGAGTTATATCATTCAAATTCTTAGATTATTGCTCTCCGTTGACACAAGTTTACTAGCTTACTCAAATATTGTGTATATTTTAAAATTCTTTTTAAAATTTTTATTCAATTTCTTGGAACATTGCTTTTGGTTGTCAAAAATTTACCAGCTTACTTAAACATTGTGTTATTCTTAGAGTTCTTTTCTAAATGTTTTATTCCTTACACGTTCAAGAAAGATATGTTGGTATAAAAAATAGAATATAAAAAAAAGTTTTGTAAATAATTACAAAAATTTTACCGTTTGCAAATTTAGTACAATTTATTCATACTCATATTAAAATTAGTTACTAAAATATACTCTTGCCTTTATTACAGATAATCTTAAAGTGGTTAAAGAATTAACATCAGTGACTACAGATATCCCGAAAGCTGAAGGCAAATTTACCTTTTTCAATAACAGTCAAATTCACATTACTTGAATACAACTCTTTGTTCTTTTACATTTTACGATAAATTTAAAAACTTTCAGGTTCTACTAACGTTCCTAGTGAGTCATCAAAACATGATGAAAGTTTTTGGAAAAATATTTTGGGTAAAGTTAAAGACTTTTTTATTATAATAGAATTAGTATTATTCGGGTTCAGTTCAATGCTAGTTGAGAGCCTAAAAACAGAAAATATATAATTAAGAAAAGGAGGTTAATACAATCTCGACTGCCACTAAAAAGGATTTGCCCACCCTACGGCAAATAACATAACAAAAAGTTATTTATTTAAATTTCTAATAAAGAAAAAATATGGTGAAAGTGATTTAGTTTTAGATAAATCAATGTAATTTTTAATATCTTACAAGATAGTTATAATTTAGTTTAATAGTTAAAGAAAAGTTTTCAAACAAAAAAGTTGAGAAAATTTCACTTTTCACAATTTTTGGTTTTTAAAATACCAATAATTTCGAAATTTATGATCGAAGTAGGTTCAAAAACAGGTAAATCGAAGAGTTTTTTCATGCTCTACAAGTTGGAAACGATATTTTTAAAGTTACTTTTACACTTTTCAACAAAATTTTCAAAAAGTCATATTTTCCAAAATTTTAGATTTTTAAAAGTTTTATATCTCCGGTTAATATAGACGAAAAATGTTCAATTATGGCTCAAAAGAATATAATGAAATAGTATTATGAATAATTACTAAAATTTAACGGTTTGCATATTTACAATTAGTACAATTTATTCTTTTTACATTAAAATTAGTAACTATAATATACCCTTGCTTTTATTTCAGATCATCTTAAAATGACTAATAAATTAACACCATTGACTAGAGTTATCCCCAAAACTAAAGGTAAATTAAAATTTTTTTTTTGAAACTGTCAAATGCATGTTACTTGAATACGTCTCTTTGTGCTTTTACATTTTATGCTAAGTTTAAAAACTTTCAGGTTCTACTATGGTTCCTAGTAAATCATCAAAACACATGATGAAAGTTTTTGGAAACATTCGTTGGGTAATGTTTAAAACTTTTCTTATAATAGCATTAGCATTATTCGGGTTCAGTTCAATGCTTTCTTAGATTTATGCTTTTAGTTGACACAAGTTTACTATATAGCTTATTTAAACATTGTGTATATCTTAAAGTTCTTTTCTAAATTTTTTAATTCTTACATGTTCAAAAAAGATATTGGTAATAAGAAATTTGAAGAATATAATGAAATAGTATTATGAATAATTACATAAGTTTTACCGTTTCCAAATTTAGTTCAATTTATTCATACTTAGTTTAAAATTAGTTACTAAAATTAACATCTTTCAGGATCTACTAAAATTTTAAGTAAACCACCACAAGATAATCATGGGTAAAGTTTAAGACTTTCTTATTATAATAGATTTAGTATTAATCAGGTTCAGTTCATTGCTAGTTGAGAGCCTATAAACATAGAAAATATGTTGGTAATACGGAATTTACAGAATATAATAAAGTAGTTTTATATATCAGTCCCACGTGAAACGATTCTATGGAAACCGCCCCATGGCGGCACTGATTTTATATATTTCTATGTATGTTCACGTGTAGATTTCAACAAACATACAACCAAAAATTATTAGAGTTTATTTGTAAAAGTTTTACCGCTTGTCAAATTTAGTACAATTTATTCCTTCTCACATTAAAATTAGTTACTAATAAATATCCTTCTCTTTTTACAGATCTGTAATAATGGGCTAATTTGTTACCATCTGGGCCTACAGTAGTCCCCATACTTGGAGAGGCAAATTTTCAATTTTTTTCTAACAGTGAAATGCTTAGTACTTGCATATGACTTTTTGCGGTTTTACATTTTATGCTAACTTAAAAAACTTTCAATTTTGAGCAACATTTCTTGTGATTATTCAAAAAAATAATTGTTTGTAATGTTTGTTTTAATAAATGTAATAAATGTAATAAATTTATATAGGAAGTAAAATTCCCTTACAAATTTTGTTGATACATATATGAAGTAGTACAGTTTTACCAAAATTTTATGATCTTCCGAAGATCCTCAAAAAAGATGTTCCTTGCCGTCCAATTGTTTCACTAATAAATAGCCCAACACATTTTCTGGCTAAAGTTTTATACAATGAATTAACATACAATATTAAACCCCCTAATTCGCATATTAATAAAAATCCGAGCGAGGACAATGACGCTAGATATAATTAAGCATAATTTGTAGACGCCGTGATGAATGATAAGCGTCTTGTAGAACTGAAAAAATATTTCTCTGCCATTTTCCATTCGGTGTATCGGCAAGATTAAAGAAAGTGAAATTCGTATATTTTTCAACCGCTTCGTAAGCCGTGTAGAATTTTCTATAAATTCTTGGCTTATTCTGACGTTTTGAAACACCCAAATTTTGAAGACTTCTAGAAGTGTAGGGATTAACGTGTGGATAAAATTCAATGTTTCTCAGTTGAATTTTTGTACTCGGTGAATAATATACACTTAATTGTACATCATAACCTGTATTGTCTGAAAATCCCGCCAATCCACTGGCGCCTTGTTTCCCTTCTGCACCTTCATTACCATAAACTATAATATCATCAGGTGGTAATTCTTCTCGACAAGATGGACAAAGACCGGATGTGCATATCATGGCAACACCTCCTGCTTGACCAGCCAATCCACCAGGACCCGCTTTACCACCACGTCCACCAATTTCCGGCATTCCACCGACAATAACCTCTGATATTCCCTTTCCCAAATAGGTCTCATTAGCCAGAGATTCAACATCCTCATGTAGAATTGTATCAAAACCGTGGACAAATCCATTTCGTTCTATTTTTTGCGGATCGAGATCGAAGGTTGTGCCGTCAGTGCCTTTCTCACCATCGCCGCCATTTTGTCCCATTCCGCCATTTCCACCATTGACGTAAATTCGAAGTTTCGAATCTGTGTCTACTGGTTTATTTAGAGCGCCAACGCCGCCTATTGGTTCATTTGGAGAGTCTATTGGTTTACCTAATCCGTACGGACATACGAAATATTCGATATATTCGTCAGTGTTGTAATAACAGAGAGGATATGTTATTGTGTCTGAGTTATTAATTACTTGGCCATCGGCAGTTTGCCAATTGTATTCATCGCCTATACCGTAGAAATAACCACCATGACCACCTGGGAATCCTTCCTTACCGTCTGCACCGTGAATTGAGTTTGGAACCTTTCTCGGTGATACATGTGATTCTCCATTTAGACCATTAAGAATTATCTTTCGATTCAGACCAATTATCCATCGTGGAGCAGCAACAACGAGCGTCAAATCTAAACCTTTTGAATTAAAATCCTCATCGAATATTACGCTCTCAGTTGCTATTAATTCAATAACCAATGTACGACCCTGACAAAATTCCTTTTTCGGTATGTTACTAAATTTCACATTTCTACCTGCGATTGTTAATCTACTCATGAAATAACCTCTCTTTATGCTTTCATGTATCTCTTCTTGGTTACGAAACAAAAGTGTACATGTGTATTCTAGTGGTTTTGTAATGTTTGGCGATTCATTGAAATTTGTTTCTTCCCGCTTTAGTCGCTTCTGAAAAAAGAAAAAACATCTTTAGTTGTAGATTGTGACTTTGTAAAATTTACTATTTTACAATTCACAAAGTTTTAAACAATAATTATTTGATGTTCTTATAAAATTCAAAATTTTATTTATTCGCCCAACCTTTGTTGCAATAGTGGCCTTAAATCTTTTTGAATTCACAACATTAATATCTTGTTTATAAATGGTTTTGTAATGTGTTACGTATGACTTCGTAACATTTTTATATTTTTAGTAAAAAAACATTTTCTAACTAAATGAACTCAATAAGGCATTATTAGTGTCAATGAGATAAAGACATTTTTTAAATTTAAGTTAAAATTTTCTTAACAATCCTTAACAGGCTAAATTCTTGAAATTTTTTTTAATTAAAAAAAATTATTTACTGTTCCTAAACTATTGCTAGAAGAATATTCCAATTAATATCTGGATCTCATCAAAATTAAAGTAATTCACAATTCATAAAAAGTAACCACAGCCGATAATCATCAGAATATGAAAAATTATTTTTTGTGCGAACTTTATCTTCTGTTTACTAACAATTGTTAATCAAAAAATTTTTTACTGGTCCCAAACTATTTGTTGCTAGAACAATTCCAATTATTATCTGCGGGTTATCAAAATTAATTTAATTCACAATTCATAAAAAGTAACCAAAGCCGATAATAATCAGCAGAAGATGAAATATTATTTCTTGAGCGAACTCCAATTTAGAAATAAAAACTAAATTGTAGTTTAAAAAAAGTTCTCAGTGAAAATAACCCCTATTCCCAATTTAGAAATTTAAACCTTATTGTAGTTTTAAAAGATGAACAACTATATTGGTTTCTTGTTGTAAAAGGGTCTACTTTATAGGTTTTTTGGTGACTGTTTCTTACGTATATATGTAATCCCTCTTTAAATTCTATTAAAGAAAAAAAAATTTGGTCAAAAATTGTTCGAGTTATAAATTTTTTTTGACTTTTTCACATTTTTCGGTTTTTTGATAAAGCGAGTGGAAACGCTGGCTATTAAAAGTTTATAAAAAAAATTTGCAATGGTCACCATTTGAAGAGCAGTAATTCCTCCTTAATTTCTGACATTGAAAAAAAATTTGGTCGAAAATTGTTCGAGTTATGAATTTTTTTCGTACTTTTTCAAATTTTTCTTGTTTTTGATTCGGGCGGGTGAGAGCGCTGGTTATTTAATTTTTCTTTTTGAAAATCGTAATAGTCACATTTTGGAGAGCAATACTTTCTCTTTAATTTCTGACAAAGAAAAAAAAATTGGTCAAAAATTGTTCCACTTATGAATTTTTTTTTGAATTTTCACATTTTTCAGTTTTCTGATACGGGCGGATGGGAACGCAGGCTATTAAAAATTTATAAAAAAATTTCGAATGATCACAATTTGAAGAGCATTAATCCGTCTTTAATTTCTGCCCAAGAAAAAATATTTGATTCGAAATATTGGGTTTCGAAAAAAGTCAAAAAAAAATCAAAACCCGCGGTTCGACAGGACCGCGGGTATACAAATGTACAGAAATAAATAAATAACACAAATAATAATTTTCTACCAATTTTTTTTCCTTTATCAGAAATTAAAGAAGGATTATTGCATTTTAAAATTTGACCGTTGTGAATTTTTTAAATTAATTTTTAATAGCCAGTGTTCCCACCCGCCCGTATCAAAAAACCGAAAAATGTGAAAAAGTAAAAAAAAAACCATAATTGGAACAATTTTTGACCAATTTTTTTTTCTTTGTCAGAAATTAGAGAGGAATTACTGCTCTTCAAATGGTGACTATTGCAAATTTTTTTTATAAACTTTAAATAGCCAGCGTTTCCACCCGCTTTATCAAAAAACCGAAAAATGTGAAAAAGTCAAAAAAAATTCATAACTCAAACAATTTTCGACCAAATTTTTTTTTTCTTTCTCTGTAATTAAAAAGGGATTATTTCTTTTCAAATTGTGACCATTGCGAATGTTTTTAATAAACTTTTAATATCCAGTGTTCCTATCCGCCCGTATCAGAAAACTGAAAAATGTGAAAATTCAAAAAAAATTCAAATCTCGATAAAATTCAAATCCGAGCTAATCTAGCAAAACTGAAATAGGTTTTTGCTAATTTCGATAAGTATACTTTCAGAAACTGAAGTCAAAACTTAGTGCACATTTTATGTGTTGCACTGTGTAATATTAGAATTAGATAATATTAGAATATACTTACCAATTTGTTTAGAAGTACATTCTGATTGTACGAAAAGCAATAGGAAATTAACAGTAAGAATAAAATTACAATTGGATAATTTATATTCATATTTCTGATAGTTTTTAAAATCGTAAATTCTGTTTAATTTTAAAAAAAGAAAAAAAAAGGTTTGAAAAAAATTTAAATATCCAATTTTAATAAACTTTATGTAATTTAATAATATTAATATAAAATATTAATATAGTAAATAAATATAATTATAAAAATGATTTTATTTCATTTTACTTAACAATTTGACTAATAATAACTAAAAGTTACAAAAATAAATTCAGAGTAACTGAAACTTTTTATAAAATGTTAGACTGTTTTCGTAAAAAATATAAAAAATAACGTATTTTCATCTATTATATATATATATCAAATGCCCTTTATATAAAATTTTTTTTAACATAAACCAATTGAATCAATAATATTCAATTGGTTTATGTTAAACAAAAGTGATGAATATTGATATTTCGAAAAAGGAAATTTATTTTTAACACAATGGGTTTATGATAATTAATATGTATTCAAGTTGATCAATATTTCTTTAAATGTTTCTTCAAAAAACTTTAATGTTCCTAATTCTTGAGTAATCAAAATTTTTTTACTTTTAAATATCATTATATATGCTGCATGAAGAAAATTTGTTTTCCTAAAAAAGGAATTTAAATAAATAAAAAATTATAGATTAGATTTTATATACCACCAGCAAATGTTACACGTGCCAGCGCGCGGAATTTCAATTTATTATTATTATGAAAATGACAAAATGTCATTACTATTTTCAAATACAAATTTTTGAATATTTTCATAATTAGAATTTGAAAAATTCAAAAGGGAAGAATTGTTAAAGAAACTCCATTATTTTAACGAAAATTCAAAGATTTTTTATTTTAATTTTCTTTTATTATTATGCTATTAATTTTTACTTCTTTTGTAAAATGACTTTTTTATACTTTAGTTAAGGTTACATATACCTTTTGAACTGCAAAAAAAAGTGATTTTTATAATTATTTTTAGATAAACGTTCATAAACGTTCATAAACGTTTCTGAAAATAGGCATTATAAATGAGTCACAATAATAGAAATGTTTATTTCAGTCGCTTTAATTAATCAGAGTCTTTATTATGCC